GTTGTTGTTGTTGTTGTTGTTGAGATTGATATTGCAGAGGTTGTTGTTGAGGTTTATATTGATGTGATTGTTTTTGGAGTTGATATTGTGGAGGTTTTTGAAGTTGGGATTGGGATGATTGTTGGTCTTGTTGATACTGTGGAGACAATTGCTCAAATTTATCATTCCAATTGTAAAATTGTTTCGTCGGTGTTACAAAAATATTTTGTACCGCAGGTTGTGCATGTGCATGTGGATTATTCTGGAATAATATAAATGCAATAAAATCGATATAGAATTATTCCTATTTAAAAATCGAAAATTGATTGATAAGGATAAGGAAGAATCTGAATCACTCTTTAAAAACTAACCAAGAATACTGATTGCTGGTATGATTGTTGTCGTTGTTGTTGTTCCTGTTCTTGTTCGCGTTGTTGTTGTTGTTGTTGTTGATGATGTTGTTGTTGTTGTTGTTGATGATGTTGTTGGTGTTGTTGTTGTTGATGTTGTTGTTGTTGGTGTTGTTGCTGTTGGTGTTGTTGTTGATGTTGTTGTTGTTGTTGGTGTTGTTGCTGTTGGTGTTGTTGTTGTTGGTGTTGTTGTTGTTGGTGTTGTTGTTGTTGGTGTTGTTGCTGTTGGTGTTGTTGTTGATGTTGATGTTGTCTTTGTTGCTAAAATGATGAATTATCAGCAAGCACATGTGATTATTGATTATATTTCATTAGATTTTGAACGAACTTTTTTCTCTCTTTTTGCAATCCTAATTCATTATAACCTATTGCAATACTTTGACAATGGTGAAGTGTTGAGATTTATTAATATCTGAAATGGAATATACCTTCTCAAGAGATTGTATGGAGATTGAACTCTTCGTTGGTAATTTTTGAGTTGACTTGGGTGATTCCGCTGCAATGCCATGTCGTGATCCATCTTCATTCCTTTTTTTTGGCAAAGAATTTGCATGTGGTACTGATTTAGACTTTGCGATAGACGAGATGACAATTTCATTACGCTCAATTTCCCCGTCACGAACAACAAAATGAAGATTAGGACGAATTGTCGTCCGATCCAAACTTCCGTTTTGCCATTTTAGCAATTGAACAATAGTTCCGTTCTCAGAGGTTTGCTTCGCTGCTCGTACTGGAATTATCCGTGTTGGCGATTGATCCGATCTCGGGAAAATCCTATGAGGTTTTTCTCCTTCACGTTTAGATACTGCAATCAACAATTTGCACATCATTTCAATGATAATTTCATTATCTTTTGAGGAATAAAAATAAGAAAAGATGAATGAGAAAAGTGAAGTGTACCAAAATTAAAATTTTTGTTTATAAATTCATCGCTTTCACTGGAAATTAAAACTCGCAATCGAGTAAGCGTTGATGATTTCACATTCGATTTTATTGCTTCTAAAAATATAAAATTTCGAAAGCATTAGATGGTAGAATTTAATAATGAAATAATTTTTTTGCAGTAAAGTATTGATGTGAACACTGAAAATTGAAAATAAAGGATAAAAGTAAAATTAATATTTATGTATTTTAGGAAATAATGAAAGCACGAAACTAATGTAAACTTGATGAAAAGTAAATACTTAAATAGAAAAACATACCTGTGGTAGTAATCATCGCTGCAGCATCATTAGACTGAAACAATTTCGATTCTAATGAAGTTATTATCTCAAGAATAAATAAGTAAAGAAATAAAAAGAAATTCGTTGATATTTCTAAATTATCGGTAAGATTTTTGAAAAAGGCTTTAAGTTATTAGCATACCTTATCATTACTGATTTTATCATCACCGAGAGATTCAACTGATAGCATTTCTGCATTGTTTTTGTTTTGAGATGTATGTTTACGCAAGAAATTAGCCATAACCATACTTTGTTCATAATTACTCATATGATTTTTATCCTGAAATTATATGTTTTAATTAAAATTTCGGAATGAAAAACAAAAAAAATGTACATAATTAAAATTAAAATTATGATAAACATGCATTTATATAAAACGAGATATGCAAACAGACGTATTAATTTTAATATTTTTGTGCTAATTAACTTTATTGCACATTATTGCAATGCAAGAAAGTATTAATAAAAGCAAGTGGTGCAGATTTTTTTGTATTATTATGTGAAATAATGTTAATTGCATGATAAAAATGATAGGCAACTCTGCGACTCGATATGTGCTATCATTCATAAATGCATCTATTATTAGTAATGCTGTATTCATACAAACATAAATTAAAATGACTTTGGAATAACGAAAATTATTTGTCACCATCTGTCGGAATAGATAATGAATAATATCTCTCAGCATACGATGAAGAATGTTAACGTATGTGAAGTATATTCAATAATGATTAATAATAGTTATCAATGGTTCATTTATCATTTGCAACAAATAATGTTAGCAAAGTTAACATGCCTAAACATCGTATTAGTTTATATTCGTACATGTATACAATAATTACTGAAATGAGCAAAAAGGAAAGCTGAAACTTACAGGATAAAAATCATAATCATCATAAATAATTGGACCGTCAGCAGCACGTATACTTGCCGCTCGTACATCACGTGAACTTCCATCTTTTTGTCCTAATTGATCTTGATCATAAACCTATAAAAAATGAAAAGTATAATGCTATGAATTTGTATATTCTTAAAAAGAAAAGCATAGATTTATTATTTTAAATGAATGACATCTGACCTGATTTGTTTCAGTTTGTTTTGCATTGGCAGTTTTTTTCATGCTATTCTTGATCAGACTACCATCCGGTGCAAACATTCCCTCATAGATGGATTCATGTTGTGGTGGTAATTCCGGTATTGTATTGATACCTTTTGAAATTATAATTTATATGTTCATGCTCAAAAAAAATTTGTTTTTAATTCTGACATTACAATTACAATTTTAGCAAAAAAAAAATCAGTTGTAATAAAATTTTTAATAAACTTTTTTGCATTAAATGAATTAATTACATGAAAACTTATCAAATATTTGTTTTTCAATTTTTTTAATTTTATATAGAAATATAAAATTTTAAACATAAAAAAACTAACCGTAGGTGTCTATATTTGGNGGCGGTGGCAATGTAAGTAATGGTAAACTGAACAATTTTAATAATGGCGCAATTGTCATACGATTTAGTATAATTGGTGATTGCGTTGTCGTAATTCTTTCCATAACTAAATTAAAAAAATTATACAGCACTAATCATGTACTAAATCCCGTAGGATTTTAAAAAGAATTTAATTTTATTGCGGTAAAAAATTAAACTTATTAATATGTTGTTCTGAGATAAAAATTTAATTATTGACTTTTTAAAGAACTCTTTTTCAACAAATTTCGGTCATCTGATTACTTAAAATTGTGTACTTGAAACACTTAAAGAAATCATTACGATTTGAAAATATTTTGAATTCAATGTTATTATTATTTTGTTGAGTCATCACTTGTTGTGAAATTGTTATTTCGTTACTTCTTATTTAATCTAAAATCTCTATCATCTGTACAAATTTCAACCTAATTTTATTTTTAATTACGGTCATTAGGTTGATTGAAGAAATCGGTAGAGAATCATTGAAATTTTAGATTTATTTTTCATAATTATCTTTGACTACGATTTTTCTATCTGCTGAAATTTGATGGTTAGAAAATCGAATTTGTCAAAGGTTTAGAAAGTCATTATCAAAGTTTACTTTCCATGAATTGAGAGAAAGTAATAAAAATTGGCAAGAACAAGAAAAAATCGGTCAAATTTTCAATTTAATTTTAAAAATTTTATCAAAATCATTTTTATTGGTAGTTAAGTTGTGATCGGTATAACTCCTCTTTAAAATATAGTCTTAAAGTCTGTGAAATAAATTCAAGTTGAAAAGTTTTTTCCACTTCTTGAAACAACTTTAATTTCTTCACAGTACTTAGCATAAATTTTAGTCATTTTTTGATTTTCTGAACATGTCATTCATACCTATCATTATGTACCATTTCTGCGCAATACTACATAACCTAATGTGTTATTGAATTTTATCGAACTTTATCAGAGATATATTCAGATGTTATTAATCATTAAGGTAGAAATACCATTCTGTTATCATTTAATTATGGTCAATTTTCAACGTTTTTGATATTACATTAAACAACCATATTATTAATGTTATAAGTCATTCACTATCTTGTTATTTTTTTAATTTTAAGTAAAAAATTATTTGTACTTCATTTTCGGAAAATTTAAAGAAAAAGAACCAATTAATAGCTGTTTCATATTTTGCAAAATTTTCGATGTCATACTATCTGCTGATAAAAATTATCATTTCACTATCTTTTTTTCGTTCAGCTCGAAATCTTAAATATTTGTGTTTTGTATTCTTTTATGTTATCTTCTTCAATCTATTAATTTTTATCATCCCATTTTGCATTTTTTATTAAATAGATTAATGTATTTGAGCCTTTATAAAAAAAGGAAAACTTCGATAGCATAAAAATGCAAAAAATTTACCGTTAGAATGATTGGGCAGCGGTGGTAGGCCGAAAAGTTTTGTTCTTTTAGGAGTTGGAGGGAATGGCAATTTCGGTAAAAAATACGGCGTGTACGGCAGATTGAACATTTCAGCTAAAGCCATGAAATCTCTCAGTCCATGCAGCTGCAAAATGAAAAAAAAGGCATTTATTTACGCTCTATTTGTTTTTCAATATTTTAGAATCTTAATTTTTAAATGGTCAACATCTGCAAAAATATAATGCTTAAAAAAGCATAATGAAATAAATTTTTAGTAATATTTGTCAGAATATCGCTGAAAAATCCACCTACTACACTAAATTAAATATTTAAGTAATCAACTAACACAACAAATTCAGTACTCAAATCATTGAATTTCATACAATAAACAGAATTTATATATGAAATTATAAACTAAAATTTAGAAGCGAAAAATTTATCATTAAACTGAACACTTACCTTTTGTGAACTGCTTATCACACATATTGAAATGAATAGTAATGGAATTAAGTATGATGAATAAAGATTCATTACCTTAAAAAAAATATAATTAAATTACAATGCAAAAGAATACCTTAGCGAATGATAAAATGTAACATTCTAATCAAATGGAATAAATACAAATGTCTTTTAATTGTTAGAAGAAGTAAAACTAATTATAATTATTGTTTGATAATTTTATTACAGTCGACAAATATTATGCACATTTTTAGAGTGGCAACAAAACAATTAAAATTTTATCAATGAGTAAATGGAATTAAATATGAAAAGATAAACGTTAGGAGGATTAAGTTTATTGTCTTTGAATAATAGTTTGACAGTTTGAGATGACGGCTAAAATGGTGGAATTGAGAATATGAAATAATTATTATTGATAAATGATCAAAGCAATAGAACAAAACTGGACTTATCAATATCTTCCACAAGATTTTTATCACAATGACGATATGAACAACATCATTTCTGACAGCATCCTTTCGACAAGTTTTTCGAAATAGACAAAGGAGACAGAGGAAGTGATAAGGAACGGAAGATAGTGATAATATTTACATATGTAATAGTCAAATAGCTCTAAAGATGAAAGAAGTTATCTAACAAAAGAAAAGGTAAATAAATAAATTTAAGCAAATAAAAATAAATAGGTAAATGAGAGGTAAACAAATGAATAAATTTCACTAATTAGTATAAATTATTAATAACGGGTAAATTTAGGATAGTGGATTTATGAAATAAATAATGAATAATAAAAATCTAGGATAAAATTATGGAATTAATAGTAAATTAAATAGTTAATGGAATATGTGGATATGTAAATAAACGAATAAATAAATAAAGTAAGTAATTGATATAAATAAAATAAAAGGAAGTGACCATCAGGTAACAAACAGTTGATAAACTCTTCCTTCTTTTCAATTTCACAATCTTTTATGAATGTTTTATGACTGATTGATAAAAACAAAACCGCTTTAGTAATAAATGAATGGTTGTGGAGGCGTAATTATATTTGCATGAATCTGTTTACGTAACGTATTGAAACCTTTATACGTGTACATATGTGTGCATTTAGACGCAATTACACACGCAATATATAAATGTTTACAGAAACAGATAAGTATGAGAGCACATGCGAATCATATGCTTTCTGAATGAATTTAGTAGAGAAATGGAAAGACGATGAAGAATAAATGAAAATAAAATTAGCTAATATTTTTTCTGACCTTTAATATATTTTATCCTTAGCATCTTTAACAATTTTTCCTTCCTTTTTTGATTTGTATTTCTTTTCTTGTAACAAAAAATTGGATAATAAAATGAAGTAAGGAAGTTAATTAATAAAAAACTTCCTCTGTTTTAATTTTAAAATTTTGCTTTATTTTTTTCTTCAAATAATCAGTATCTGCGCATCATCAATATTATCATTTTGTTTCATCAATTTATTGTATTTCTTTCTTCAGCAAATTCAAACAATAATTTTATTCAATAAAGTCATACATTTTTTTTCAAACTGAAAAAAGAATTAATGGATTAATGGATTTTTTTAGCAATTAAAGTAATTAGACAGTTCAGGCTTAATTCTTTTTTTTAGTTTGCAGCAGTTTTTTAAAAAAGTGTAATGATTTATCAAAGTTGATTGTAAATTTATTTTATTCTACCCGTGAATTCGAAAATAAATATATACTGCAATGCTTTTTCGATAATATATAATAATAGCGTAATATTAAATGGAAATTGATTGTTTTAACTGTAACGATTGTAAACGTAGGTTACAACTATGCTAGTTATGTATGATACACTATTATATGTTAATGTTTTTAATGAATTAAGATTTTTACATTAAATTAAAATAAATTTTTTTATAAATTTTGATGAATTTAAAAAATAAAAAGAAATTATTTGCAGCGCAAAATTATTCATTTTTACTTGAAAACTAAAACAAATTAATTATTAAATTAGCACGCCTAATTTTAATAATTAATTTATTTTAATTTTTTTGTTAGTGTCCTAAATTATATCATTTTTTTCCTTTGAAAAACCAAATAACAACGAATGAAATTCTGACTAATTTATCTTTTGTTTTAGAATTTTTGATTTTTGATTTTTTTAGAAAAATTTTAACTTTCAATAATAAATAGCTAAATAATGACAAAATTTTTTATAAGTATTAAAAACGACAAAATGTATTTAAGTAGTCAACAACATTTATTCAATTGACATATGTATCAAAAATTCATGTTTAAATCATTTTCTTCTCAGTAGAGGTAAACAAATATAATAATCAATTATGACTAATAAGCAGTGAAATTAATTAGCAAATATATATTTGTGTTGATTATAATAAAATAGTTTGGACAACCAACGAAAATGTTATTGTTACAAAAAGATAAAATAAAAAAAAATAGTTTTTATTTTGAAGTAAACATGGAAATTGAAAAAAAAGAAGTTAAAACTAAAATGTTTTTTTTTTCGAAAATTTGCTGCAAATTAGGATAAAGAGAAATAGAATGGAATAACCTAATTTTTTTCAAAAAAAAATTTCACAAAAAAGAAAACAGAGATGAAAATCTATAATTAAATCAATGATTTTTACAATAAATAAAATTAAAATTACCATGGATTTTAACAAAATGACTTTTTCGTTTTCCAGTTTTTTCGTGAGTTCCGTTTTTAGTTTCAACTCTTTTTTTTTGTGCATAACATCAAATGTAATTATCACTTTTTGAATGATAAATCGAATAACTGACTTTTGAATTCTTTCATTTTGCCAATAAATTTATTTAAATCAAAATCGAAAACTTTCACTGTCAAAAAAAAGTAAGAAGATATCTTTTTAGCAAAAATATGTGGAAATGAAGTGTAAAATAAAATAATGTAGTAATTTCTATTAACAATTGGAAAATCCTAAATAACAAGCTAAGAAGTAATTCAGCTCAATAAAAAAAATTAAATTAATTACAAACCAAATTATTATAAGCAGATATGATTGAAATTTTAATATCTTTATTTTTCAATCCAATAATATCCTAATTTCTTTGAAAATTTTCAAAAGCAATAAATTACAACAGCGATAAAAAAATGTAGGAAAAAATGATAACAATCAAACATCCGAAATTTTCAATCATTGTTAAAAAATGTTTTCAAATTTAAATTATAAGAACAATTAATACAGACAAAAATCCGTTTTAAT